CTCCCTCTATGACGGCTCCCCTACCCCCACCTCCTTAGTTCCTTAGTGCTTCCGGCTTTTACAATATTTGTGTGATAACAATCTAGAGCGTTGCATTCCTAGCCAATTGCTTACTTTGCATTCATAAAAAATTACTCTCGTAGTAAATGGCTCACTGATTTACTGATTTCCGTAAATCATTGCTTTTACAGCGTTTCTCGGTGGAGGCCATGAGGCACTCCCTAACGTTGGCCGATGTACTTCCATGGACTGCGTTTGCACTCTTCGAAAATGCACCACATTTTTCTATAAGGGACTGCAGAACAACCGCAGAGGAGTCAGTTTGTAAGTTCGCTTACTGAGCTCTAAACTTTGAGGTGTTTTGAACGAAGACTCATCCAACTGTAACGCAATACTGCGGTATCTGTCAGGTTGCCTGTTCTGTTCACAGACTACAATGGACTCACACTGAAATTTAGCTCTAACTCCGTGGTTATCTTGTTTTTATTCCAGTGCTAAGTTCAACCAAATGAAAGACTGTGTGGTGAAGGTGGTGAAGTGTTATGTTGACTGACGGACAGAAAGTAGCATCAGAAGAATTGTAGACCAGAGTTTTGACAGCAGCGTATGTTTAGAAGGCCCGCCTCTAATACCGTCTTCGTCGGCAGCATTAGTGCCTTGTTCCAGCTCTTTCGTCACTAAAGCAAACGCTGTGGGAGGACCCTCCGGCAAATATTCGTCGCAGACAAATCGAATTCCTCTCTTTGCGGGTGAGTTTGTGTAGACTATTTATTTTCATACAATAAGCTGAGTCATACAAGCATTCTGATTAATTTACTTATAATGTAAGCCCATAGATAACCTCAACGTTATCAACTATGCTTCTTTGTGATTAAAAAAAAAGTGTATTTAAATTGAAAAAAAAATGGAAGAGAAAAAGGAAAAATAAAATTCTCCTTGGTTGAGTATACAACAACAACAAAAACAACAATGTTGTGGTTATTGTTAATAGTAATAGAAATAATGGACAAGTTAAGAAGGTACTTTATGTAGACTCAGTAAACTGTCCAAAACGCATGCGCAGGAAAACGCCAATGATCAAACCGCGTTAAGAGGGTGACGCGAGTTTTACCGATCAGAGTTGGCTTGGCTTTGTAAACCGAAACAGATCATATCAGTGTAGTCTCAGATCCAAAATTGCACAGCGAGGGAAACAGGCATACGTAGAATGATTTTGTTCTTCTAGTCTGTGGACATTTTTAGTCAATTTTGATAAGTTTTTGTATCAGCGAAGTTTTTGTATCGTGGGTTTAAAACATTTCCTTTTAGTAGTTGGCTTTCATTTCTTGACTTCTCGAGCGACCACTTTTTTAATAAAAGCATTTCAGAAATTAAAAATATTTGAAATTAAAATGTCTAAAAAAAACTTTCTTTTTCAACAAAGCGACCAAACCAATTTGTTTTGACAATGGTCGTATTATATTTTACGCTGAGCCATGTGCACTGATGATATTTCTAATAAAGGAAATTAATTATAAACCAAAGTATTTTGTTCGTTATGTTATGAGTTTGTTATCATAACTCACCTATGCCCCACCCACCCTGCCCACCCTGCCCCCCCTCCCCGAACCCAGCAAATACTTCTGTTTTTCTGTACTTCGAACTCCTCTTTAACTCAAACTAGTTTTTGTACTCTCCCTTGGCTCAAATTTACCCTGATAACTCAAACTTAACTAAAACGCATTGGTCGATAAACATGAAAGGCTAGAACATAGGTGATTGACACGTTGCAACCTTCGTCTACCGCGATTGATACGAACATGACATTATTTATGAAAACGTAATGCATTTGGCTGAACTTCCCAAACTGAATACAAGGGGCGAGAAGAATCCAAAAAGTCCTAAATCGCATTTTGAAAAATGAACAGAACAGGAAGCTATTTATCGGTTCAGTTTTTACCATCCCAAGTATCTAAATTTCTTTAGCGAAGAGAATGTTAACAACATGGGCGTGAATCGAGGATACCGTATCGACATTGGGGACATGGTGATAAAGTTGTACCCAAAGGACTGGGCATTAATAAAAGGAGCCGCTTGGGACCTGAACAAAACGACTGTGACTAAGAGGAAAGAAACCGAAGAAACAAGCTCTTCATTTTATAATCAGTGCAGCATGTACGACCCTGTTGTCAACGTCCAACGCTCACCATGTTCTCCGCGGAAACCTATCCTTCTATTTGTTCCCTTTGATTCGACAGCGCAAATCTAACTTGTATGTATCTTTTTTTTTTTTTTGCTTCTTTTAACAACCATGCCTTTCACTACAAAACTCTTGTTTTGTGGGAGGTTACCTCCTTTCCGCGGTCATTGGCGGATAAGAACTTTGTCACTGGGTTTAAATCTTTCAGCCTTGTGAAGCCGCTTGTTGCATCTTACCATTCGATCGTTAAGTTTTGCGCAGTAAAGATTAACTTTTCGCCGTATGTTCTTAACGCGCCTCCTCTAAGCGACCAGTTCTCGTTTATGCTGGTAACCTCATCTCCATTTGAATCTAAACATACTAGTGACGCTTTCACCAGTACATTGGATCTTCGCCCGTAGTAGATCTCGAAAGGAGTTTTCCATCTACGCTCTTCCTTGCTTTCGTCGTTTAAAATCCAGTCGTAGTTATCAATATTTGCCACCCAATTAATTTCTTTCCTTCCTAGTGTTACTAGGTCGTACATTATCTTTTTTCTGGGTCATCTATGCGACCTCTCTACTTTTCTCCGAGACTACGGGTGGTAAGGCCTTGACTTAATTAATTTTATCTTCCAATTTTTTGTAAAGGAGTTTCACCTTTCCTTCGAATTTCGATCCCCGGTCGCTTTGAATGCGATCAGGTGGACCATGTTTGACATAGTTCACCTTCAGGACACGGCTCACATGACTACTTTCTTTCTTATTTTTCTAATGTGTGCAATCACGAATCACGGCTGAAAACATCCGTAACACTCAAAGCATTTCTGCATTTCGCCCTTTGTGTTGAACGGCATCCCTACTCAGGTCCGTTAGACCAATTTTGATGTTGAGCTAGTACAGATTTTACAGTGACTGGTCTCGGAGTAGCTTTACTGGTAAACTTATGTACTCGATACTTCACTTTGCCGTCTACTTCTCGAAAAATGTTACTTTCACTCAGACCTACATAACCAGCAGCTCGATTTCACAATTTTTTGCATCTACTAGACTTTGCATCTTCAAACGCTTTCAAAAAAAGACTTGCTCTAGTTGACTTCGTCGCAACCTTTTTGTCATCAAAGTACAGGGTTGGCGTATCCTGAGTCCAAGATGAAAGCAATCGCGATTTCGCCAATAACGCGCTTCACGATTACGTGCTGTTACGGACGTGTTAAATTTTCCTTGTACCAGCAATAACAGGGTTTCATAAGCCTCGGAAACCACTTAATGGATGAAAATATTTTCCTTTCCCTTGTTTTGCCGAAACCACTACACGCTAATATAGATCAAATCATAAGGAGTAAGATAAATTTGACAACCAGCTTGACTATGCAGTAATGTAATTGCAAAAGCCTACATATCGATTTTTCGCAGTATTAGGTTAGATTTTTGGGTATTAGAATTCACACGAAACTAAACAACAGGCGTGGGAAAATTTGTACTTTATTGTTGACATGTATCATTAAGGACACAAAGTCAAGACCAAACAGAAACCACGTTATCTTTTCTTCACATCACTTGATGAATAAGAACTTTCCCGCGAGACTTGCTCTTGCAGATGTTGTTTCCTAGATTTCCTGCAACATTTTCTGGGATCACTGGACTTTCGCTAATTAGTAGCCTTTTCTTAAACGGTGAGATTACCCATCACTACCGGCACATTCAATCAACCGATTTTTATTTCCAAGTCCTTTTACTTTGAAATTATATTCCTGATTCTTTGGTGAGAGTATTCTTGCTATTTCACGACGATAAAGTTTCATTCATCCCATTCGTACCCTTAATCAATTATTATGTTTCTACATTATATCCCTTGTTCCATTGCAGGTTGGTTGCCACCTTGCTCGTCATTATTTATAATTATGATAATAACAATAATAATAATAACAATGATAATGAGAACAATAATAGTAACAATTAAAATTATGGTGATGATTGAATAATTATAATTATAATGATAATTATAATAAATTATTTATGTCATCATTATTGTTATTGACACGTATGTTGGTTGTGATTGGGTCTACTTGCCCTCCGACCATCTGTACTGAGTTTTTTTACTGAGTGCGACATCTTTTTTTATTACAAAGCACGACAAGAGTTATTACAGAGTGCGACAGCTTTTTCATTACAATGTACGACAAGAGTTATTACAAAGTGCGACAGCTTTTTTCTTACAAAGTACGACGTATGTTATTACAAAGTGTGGCAGCTTTTTTTATTACAGGTTGCGACTTTATTTCATTAGAAAGTTGCGAAAAGATGTTATGACAAAGTGCAACAGGTATTACAAAGTGCGACAGCTTTTTATCAAAAAGTTGCGACAATTTTATTACAAAGTGTCACAGGTATTGCAAAATGCGACAGGTACTATAAAGTGCTACGTATAATTCAAAGTACGACAGAACAACTGACCACCTTCACCACACACTATTTCAATTAGTCGAGCTCAGCAAAGTCAACCGTTCGAAACAAGTCAATTTCATAAAAGCAAAGAAAGTATTGGAAATATAACGCCCTAGATCATGTATCTTGCAAACATTGTAAAAGGCAAGTAGGGCCAGTTACGGAAACGATAAGTTTCACATACTCGTTGTAAAGTGCCATGTGATGCGTCGGAAAAGGAGTGGGGAGGGTCGGTGGGTGAGTTGATGGCACTGTTAAGACAACAACAAAAAATCAAGTTAAACTGGCTCCAGCTTCCTTTAATCGAAATGCCTTTAACGCTTATGGCTCGGAGTAAGTATCATGATGTCTGACAAGATCATTTCTGAAACAAATATCTTTTATTGGTTTGCTGCAAAAAAGGTCTCTTTTTAACATTATTTTATTTAAACTTTCATTACTTTCGATTTATGAAATGATCATGTTAAGAAAGTGCTTGTTAATGAAATAAAAGGCAAACAATACAAGGAAACATTGCAGACTTTTGATAAGCTAGCAGCTCAAATTCCTCGCTCAATACCACAACTTTTAAAATTTGCCTTAAAACGTTTAAAAACAAGGATTGTGAGAGTACCCTCTTTAAAAGCTGAAAAAGAACCAAGTGGTCGGGAAAACAGACAAAAACGCCTGCAAAACACTGGTTTTGATGCCAGCGGCCGCATTGATACTATTGGGTTTATCGTTGCGAAGGAATGCGGCGGCGGGTCCAGTTATGTTTTTCACGCCGTTGCACTGGTCATTTCCGGTAGCCCCAGGGTTCCGATTATCAGCGCAGAAAGGATTTTGGCCAGCAAAAGTCAAGTTAAACAATTCCAGCGCTTCAGGGGGGAAGGTACACTCAGTAAGCATCACATTCTTCAGACACTTCTTCATCTTAGTTTGCTCCCTGTAAAAATGAAGGTCATCAAAAGTTTAGTAGTCTCTCTCTTTTCTTTTCTTTTTTTTTTTTGTCTTATTGAACAATATGCAGTCTCAGAAATTTTCTGAGACTACATGTTGATATGCTCCCCTCTGTGAACGTCGCTCTCTTAATCATTTAGCTATTCTCGACCAATTGCAACAGTTTCCTTGGTTCGTAAAATATTCCTTTTGCTTTCGTACCAGCAATGATTATCAAATACGATATTTTGTTTGTTTTTGTTATACTCGAGCAAAAACAAAAGCAATCGTATCTGTCTTTTTTTACCTTCAAACCTTTTTCAGTTTGAAAAAGGTTTTTGAAGGGAAAAAAAGACATGACAATCTGAGATTGTTATCAGTTTTTTGCATAGCTTTATTTTGGAAGAAGTAGTGAACTGCATTGTCTGAACGATGGATAGATAAAGTTAAACCTCCTTGGCTTTTAAGCGCACCCATTATAGAATCAAATGACAAGAATGTCTCAATTCATCTCCTGAACAATCCTTTCTTCATTCTCTTCCTTTATTCGAAAAAAAGTAATCGCTTGGCCCCGAATTTAATGTAATTTACACCTATAGGTTTTCTTGTTAATTATTAGCCTGGTAGCTTGTATATGGTCCAATAAGTGCCCATTTTCTTGGCAGCTCAGAAATAAAAACATCTGCGGTTTACATTCACGACGGAAATTATTGAAATTTTTCACCTCACGCTCGTAACAAGAATTTAATTTGTTTCTTGTTCCACAACCATGCCACAAATTAATTATCTTTTTCAATTTCTGTTTGCAAAAGAAATAGTTAACATAAACTCACGTGCAAAGAGAAGAATTCGATATGTTCGCGGCGAATATGCCTCGAAAGGTTCCCATGCAGACTCTCATTTTAGTTGTGACTGAGCTGGAACAATTCAAATATCTTAAATACTTTGTACTTGTTTGCATGAGACCTTCAGCACATCCTCTTTTCCGGGTTGAATTACTTTCCATGCTGCTGTTTGGCAGGATGTCAAAACAGTGCTTGTCCAATTTCAGCATACATTCATTTGCTTGGTCAAGCTTAGAACTGGAATGAAAACAAGAAACCCATAAAGTTAGAGCAATTTTTAAGTAAGGGTCTAAGGTGATCCGTGTATGAGTTTAGTTTAGTTTGATTCGCTCTTAATCTTATTAGCAGCTGATGTTTGTAAACTCTCCTGGTATACCGTTGCCCATTGCAACTGGAGCACTCGCGTTTTCCCGCTTTCTGATTGGCTGTTTCTGGTTGGCTGTCACTGATTGGCTATTTCTGTATCATCCTTTTGTTTGGTCGGCTGCTGCCACAACTTTGGGGTAAAATTATGTGACTTACCCTCCCCTTCCCCCCCCCCCCTCAGCTCCCACTCACGAAGCCTTCGAGAGCCCTCCATACGAGCTCACTTGACAAATAAAAGTATTGCGTTTCAGTTGCAGTCGTCGTTCAAAACACCTCAAAGTTTAGAGCTATTTAAATGAACTTACGAGCAGTTTCCTGTGGGGTCCGTTCGCAGTCCTCTATAGAGGGAGGAGGTGCAATTGCGATAAGCGCAATAGAATTCTATGCCAGAACAGTTACCAACGTTTGGGAGTGCTGCTGCGTGTTTTCCAACGAGAAACGCTAAAGAAACGATGAATGGAATCAATAACTCAGTTACGTAGTTAGACGTAGTTTTCATGAAAATAAATTAAGTATTGGAAATAAAACAGAGTATTTAACACGCAAACCTTGTAAAGGCTAGGGTAGGGGGAATCCCTTTCCCCCCCCCCTCCCCCACTACCAAAAAAATTAAACGAAGAAGCAAAGAAGAAAGCCCAGCCCCCCTCCCACTCACACGGTTACCCTTCTCGCCAGTTTGTTTCGTTAGGGTCGTTGCGAATATTCTTCTGGAAAACAGCTGACCTTTTATACATCGTCAAAAATCGATTACGGACATATTAAAAAATGTTAATGTTAATTATTTTGAGAAGTTTGAATAGAAGAACGCATTTGGCTAGGTCTACGATAGGACCTCCACCATCTTTTTCCTTTCCTCCGTCAAGTTCCAAAACGCTTTAACACCTCTGGGAAGAAATTCCAATTCTCAAGATACGTTTTTACCGAGCATATGGTTAGGGTTCAATATATTGGCCAAAACACTGAGGCAATGTGCTCTTATCATGCAGAAAAGAAAAGCATCCTCGTAACAATGAAAGAACCAGGATAAAGATAAAAGTTCACTTTAGGTGTCTCATTTCAAGACTGAAAATACTATTTAAATTAAGCCCCTCAAACAAACTTTTCACGATTATTGCATGAATGAACTTTTTTCTTCTTTTGAGATCCGTTACAGTACAATTTTCTATGCGTCACTAGCAGTACATACTGGTACAGGAAGCGTGACAAAAAACAAACCTACAGAATTTCAATTTGCCACCAGTTAAGTCGTTCAGCAGAGCACCGATTTACCTTCAGTAGGAAGAGGTACGGTTTGAAACCTCTTCGAAGAATATTGAAGAATTTGGAACTTTCTCAGCTATACAGAACAACATGAAAATTGTCATCGTTCTCTCTTTCTGGGGTTAATATTTAAAGGCATCACCTCCCCTCCGCGCAATACAGTGGACGCCGCTTTATCTGCGTAACAGCTAAATATTACAGCATCCTTTCTTCAAACGGTACGTATCAGAAGTTAAAAAAGAAAATAATAAGGCGAAGCTTCCGAAACGAAATGAAAAGAAATCGCCTCCAGTGGGTATTTTATAACTGATTATTTCACTTTAGGTAGTGAAAGAAGAACTTACCGACGGCCACGACGAAAAACATAGTGAAACGCTCAGAGACCTGCATCTTCGCTGCTCCTTCAAAAATAAATTGTTCCAGCGTAACTTAGATCCTTTTATTTAAACCCTTTTTTTTTCTTTTTTTTTTTTTTTTTTTTTTCATTGTCGCCCTTTATCTTGGTGGCGCCGGCTAAGCTGGAGATCGCTCTCGTTAAATCCTTTTTTGGTCACGTACAAATGTGTCAAGGTCACTCAAACGTATTTTTTTTGTTTGTTATTTTCAGTATATTTTTAATGCTATTAACTTGCTTTCATATTTGTGGCAAATTTATTTTGTTATTTTGCTAAATTTCTAGCTTTCCTTCAACATCTTCTTTGTTTTGTATAGTTGTAGTGTTCCCAACTATTCTTCTCCTACCCAAATCTCCAATTTCCAGGTAAATCCTGTTGTCGAGCATCAGCAGTTTTTTACGCCTTTCCCTTTTTTTAGCTAGAACAATTTCTGTAATTTCTCTAAATCTCTTATAAATTGGCCACCTTTTGCTTAGTTATTCTTTTGATTTAGCTGGTTTGCTAAGCAATAGTATTACAACTTGCCGAGCTTCTGCTTGTCTATTCTTGACCAGCTCTAAAATTATTATTTGTTTTCTTGCACTTTTTATCTAAATTTAGTTCACTTTTCTTCACCACGCAATTTATTGTTGTGTTAGCTCTGTCATGCAATTTTCTGTTTAGGTTTAAATTGCTTTTTTAATGGATTCACATTTTATTTTGTACAGTGTTTCGCATATATAATGTTGTAAATCATGTCCCTTCCTTCCCGTCTATTATTTGCATTTATTCTAGACCTATTGTAGTTTTTCTTATTTTCTTTGTATTTTAACAGTTGTTCATTTTTGTTTTTTGTTGTTGTTTGTTTGTTCCTAAAAAATCGCAAATCTTGAGCTCAAATCTGTTTGTTCCTATGTTAGCCGTTTGGCAGTCAAACTCATAGTGGTGCGTTTGGGAGGTTCGCATAAACATATTTCTCCTTACAGTACGAAATGATATGGGTTTGGGGGCACCAGCACACTGAAAAATATTGCACGTCATTGTCACTGAAGTATTTTCATAAAGAGCTGCCAGTATTTGCTCATGTATATTTACCATGAAAAAAAAGGGCATGAAACAACCCATTCCCCAAACCGATATCGTCACCACAAATGCTATTTTTAACTAAAAACAAAACAAAACAAAACCAAAAAATAATAATAAATACGCTTTTGGAAAGGCAAATTATAGGAAGTCTAGAATGAAGCAGGATTAAAAATCTAAAATGTGGCAGAAACGATTCAAATCAAACGCAAGAAATTAGAAACAGTTTATAATCTCTTGTTCAACTCTGACAACTAATTCCATGTGTTTTTGAGATTATTTTTCTTGTGTCCTCTGAAATGTAAACATCATGAGGAAAATCTTAGACCATAAAGCCACTGTAGTTTGAAAGCAGACACTTCTAAGCGTGCCAAATTTTTATTTCTCTCTTACAAATTCATTCATTTTCGTAAAGGCATCAAGATGTAATTATGAGTGATGTGAAATGTTTCTTCTGCATTTTTATGATGAAAGAATGATCTAAGTCAGCGTGTTTGTAAAACTAGTCTGGTAGATCAGACAATTTGTTATCATTATCTTTCACAGCGGAAGTGTGTGGCGTCAGTGCATACTAGACTTCCATATCAATTACTTTTGAGGCGAACACAAAATATATTTTCGACAGACTCAGTCATTAGGGATATTTGATCTGTAATCCTTTGTTCCTCTTGTGATTAGTCAATACATCATGTCTATGGGTGCCACGATTTAGCCCCCATTTGTTATTTAGATCGCATGGAATTATTAGTTGCATATCGTTAACTGACGGTATGTTTTGCTTGGCTAGGATCTTTTAAGTCAGTTACTTAGTCGATGTTTTTATCAATTGTTCGATTTTTTTGTTGGTAGCGTGAGTCAGATACTTGTCTGTTCATCGCGTGTGTCGCAGGGATTCCATTGTCTAGTACTTTAAATGCTTTGTCGCATATTTCTATGTTTCCATTTTGTTATAAGAAGTTTTCGTCAACATATGCAAGTGGCACAAGTGATTCTCGAGTATAGGAAGAATTTGTAAAAAAATTTGGGTATCTCAATGATAGCTTGATTTGAGCCAAGGTTTGTGTCTTGTGATGGTTTTGTTAGTGTATTTTTGACATAATTTTCATAGTTATTAAAGACCCATTTTTTAATTACTTTTGGTTTCGTTTTGAAAGCGAGTCCCAGTGCTCATCCTTTCACGTGATTATAAGTTTTCATTCACATGTAAGTTAAACTCGATTTCATGGGAATGGATGAGTGCCAGGCCTCGTTTTGAAAAATATGCTGACGATGGTTAGAAAATGGCCTACTTTCAGAGTTAAGATCATGTATTGCATCTTCTAAGTTTGTGACTCTCTTTCTGTTCAAGTTAGTATAAACTTTTGTACCATTGCGACTCAAATCATCTGTCACTTTGCAATTTTCGTCTAGTTTTAAAAAAAGATTGACTCTAACTCGATATACTCGTATATTTACCTCATCTCCACCTACTCCATTTAATGTCTCATGATATTTGCATTTAAGAAAAACACACCTGAAGGTTTGTATAAAGGCCTTTGTAAAGGCAAAGAACAGCTTGGCTCGCTTGAATGGGCCATTTTCGATATATTAAAATTCTAACATAGCTGTTGGGCTAGAGGGGGGATAAAACAAAAGAAATTAATGAATCATCACTCAAGCTTTTGTTTTTTTTCCCACGAAGAACGGAGCTAAGTTTGATTTAATTTACCGAAAATGGCCTATCAAATAATCTCTATTTTCACATTTCACTGGCTATATTGCCTTTGGTTTTCCTCGTGATATTCACATTTATTGAGTAGACACGCTTGAGAAAAATATGTGAAAGTGGCACCTTTACGGTTGGTATAGTGTTTATTAAAGTTTTTTAAGAGTTTGATTTGTATCGTTTCTGCCGTGTTTTAGAAGTTTAATCCTTCTCCATTCTAACTCTCCTAATTTCTGATAATCTTAACAGCATTTTTTTTCCGTTAAGGCTAAAATAGCCTTTGTCGCGTTGATATGGGTTAAGGGCACGGGTTTTATTTATTTCACTTTTCATGATAAATATACATAATTATGGTCGGAAATTACAAAAAAAATTCAGTCTCAATTACGTGCAGTATTGGGCAATGTGTTGGTGC